AGAGGTTCTCCATCGAACTTTAAGTTTTCCCATACAAATTGTATGGAAAATATGATTTTTAACACTTTTTTGTCCTGCAAACTATGACGAAAATATTTATCAAAAAATGAATGAATGGATCGTTTTTACTATTAAATTTACTACAAGAAGTTCCATTGAATCGAATTTCTATCTTCAATATTTTATTTGTTATATAGATTTAAAGTTTAAAATTTATGTTTTTTTGCATTTTTTAGCTAAATTGTAAGAGTTACAGAAAAATGTTAAATGGCAAATTTGTAGTAGGTTTAAAATCCTATAAAAAAGTCCTTGGGTAATATAGGATACTATATACTGCGAGAAAATATCTCATCTCTGAGAAATCTATACTAAGCGTTAAAACGTAACATATTATAATAATAATATAATACTAGCGACTTACCCTCACTTCGCTCAGATGCTCCCTCGGCGCCCAACAAATTATAATTATTTTATGATAATAAGCCGACAATGTGAAAATTGTGAATTATGTCTGTTCTGAGAGCAACCATAATATTATAAATGCGGAGGGTATTTAAGAACGTTCATACATAATGTGCTTAACTGCCACTACCAGTTTTCTATGGGGACTTAGAATTTAACACCTCCAGGTAAATTTCTAAGAAATCTTTTGTTAACTGTAATGCCAGCGTGTCCGCGGTCGTTGAGGGATTAAGCGACAAGTTTCATCAAAATCTGCGTTGCCGTTTACAAATGAATGAATCATAACAACAAGAAATAATCATACAAATGAATCAATACCTGTCAAATTGATAAAAACTGTGGAGAATTAGAAATAATTTTATGTATAATTATGTATATTTATAATAATGGAACTACATATTAAAATTTTATTATATACCTAATATTGGTGAGTTTGATTATACGTACATTTTGTACATAGATGACAATAAACAAAATGAAAATTGCCAGAGTTAAAATTAATTGTTTAACAAAATACGAAAATGAAAATTCATTTTTGCTGAACCATCGAGAAGCTAAAACGAATGTGACACCAATGTAAACGTTACAATCAGACAGTGGCTCTTCGGGCATCACTTCTGTACACAGTCCCTCACCCACGTGTCGTCAGCGGTTTCTGTTATTAGGAGTCATATTTTACGAAATGTGGTGTATAAGCTTTTTATAGGATTCTTTTTTAATGTATGTTTAGTAGTTCTATATTATAATAAAAAATAGATTCAGTTTTTTTGATCCAGTAACTTAGTTTGAACGCACAGAAATATGTTTAAACATTCTATTTATTAGTAAAAAAGATGGTAGAGTTAAAAATTTGATTACCTATATTTGACTGCCATAGGATAGATATGTGTTTGACCTGAATGTATCTCGTTCCTACATCATACTATGTTCCTTTATCGACTTATTCCCAGCTTCTTAGTTCATTTTTAAACAATTGGTTTTTTTACATTAATTATAATTTATCGACTCAATATTTATATAGTATTTGTTGGTTTTTATTTGAGCTGGCGAATAAAGTCCAAATATGTTCATAACCAAAAGTAAAAGTTAGATGTTACTGTCGGTCATGTACTATGATCTTTCCTATAATATAACCAACAGTATAAAAATAAAATCACAAAAAAAAAGTAAAATAAAACTATTATAAAAATATTTTTAACCGATTTCAAAAAAGGAGGAGGTTCTCAATTCATCGGAAACCTTTTTTTTATTTATGTTCACCGATTACTCGAAGATGCCGGAACCGATTTGGATATTTTTTATGTTACAAAGGTATACTTCCCAGGTGGTCCCATATAAATTTTATCGAAATCGGTCGAGAGTTTTTTTTTTAAAATCTACAATAAATTATTTTTTTAAATAAATTGTTTAATCGAATATTTTATTAAAAAACTTTCTTCTTACAATTTACCTGCTTATTACGTCTACACTAAAAATGGAAAAATAAAAACTTAAAAAATATTATAAATCGACTTCCGGGCACTAAAATATAAAAAATAACTAAACGAGAGTTTTCATTTAGAATAGATACCTAATCAGATATTTCCTAAGTCAAAGCCGACAATATTTCAATATATGAATATCTAATAAGTAAATATGATTAGGTATGAACTTTAATTATAGTTAAAATATTATACATCAATTTGTGATGTATTTTACGTATCGAAATATATTAGATTTGCTTTGCATCGGCTAGCACCGACTTCGAAAATATCTAAGTATAATATCTATTCTAAATGAAAACCCCTGTTTAGTTATTTTTTACATTTTAGTGCCAAGAAGTTGGTTTTCAACCGACTTTAAAAAGGAGGAGGTTCTCAATTCGACTGTATGTTTTTTTTTATGTTTGTTACCTCAGAACTCCGTCATTTATTAACCGATTTGGACAATTTTTGTTTTGTTTGAAAGGGTATCTTTCCAGATTGGTCCCATTTAAATTTCAAAAAAAATACCACCCCTAAGGGTGGAAAAACAACTAATGATGAATTTAACTTACTTCTAATTGTCATATTGACTTGAAACTTTGCAAGTATTTCTATTTCCGTTGATAGTACAGTGGTTTGGTGTTGTTGACCTGATCTGATGGCAAGGCCAGAAGGTGGATAGGTGGAACTCTTCAACGGCTAATAGTAGATACTTTGAGTTTGGGTTTGAGTATTTTGTTTGATTTGACAAGCCTAACACGTTAGAATTCTTACTTTGCTACTACTGTCTACACTAAAAAGGGAAAAATAAAAACTTTTTAACAAAAAAATAAAAACCGACTTCAAACAAAAGCACTAAAAAGTAAAAAATAACTGATTGGTAGTTTTCATTTACTATACATACCTAATCAAATATTTTCGAAGTCGGTGCGCTTTGGTTTAGTAATTAAAGCCTACCTATTAAATACATACCTAATCAAATATTTTCGAAATCGGTGCCAGCCCATACAAAGCAAAGCACACCGACTTCGAAAATATTTGATTAGGTATGTATAGTAAATGAAAACTACCAATCAGTTATTTTTTACTTTTTAGTGCTTTTGTTTGAAGTTGGTTTTTATTTTTTTGTTAAAAAGTTTTTTTGTATATATTATTCTTAGTAAACTTTCAAATATGTAATGTTTTAGTAGTTAACGAAAGCAATTTATTATTCAAGTAATATTGGTGGACAACAAACATTCACTGGAGTGGAAGAAACGCTGACCATTCATCAACCTGTGTAAACTGACTGCGAAACTCCGAATACTGTTTGGACATTTTGATGTTATGTTTACAAACATTTGTAGCTCCTCTCTTAAAATTTCAGATAAAGCAAAACCCTCAATTTTTGAATAAAACCTTTTTAATATTCTGTACTACTCTATAATAAGTAAAGTATTTTTTTGTATATGCATTATTGCATATGATGTGAAGCCGACATAATTACTTAAAAGCTCAAAACTTTTACTTCAATTGAATTGTCAAAATTTCATAATCTATAATTCAATTATTTCACTTCTTTTCATTATTCAACTAGTTTACTAAATTTTTGAAGATGATTTTAATCTATATCTAACTGTCGTATCGTTTTGAAACCTTGTGAGAACGTGGAAAGTGGATGACAATAGAATAATTTATTAGCACTGAGCTGATTTAATGTTAAGGCGAAGAATAACCAATACTGCTAGTTAAAACCTTCGAGTTTGAGCTGCTTTATTATTTCGTTTTAATAATTATAGAATACAATTAGTCAAAAGCGCGTTCTATTATATATTTTTTTGTTTGTTGTATATTTTTATATAAAAACATGTTATACATATATCTTTGCATACAGTACTGTGCATGTGGGTAATCCCTCTTTAAAATCGCCCTGAATAGCACGAAGTTTCCCTGCGAGAGGATTAAATCATAGTTCATTATACTGGCCAAGTAAGAGTTCCCTTAGACATGCAGGTTTCTTCAAAATGCCTTTCAATTTTCTTCGTTTTTTCTTCACCGAATACAAGTATTAATCATGTTGAATACAATTCGAGCTTCGTTTGACCCTGCTTCACTTGGTACCTCGAGCCCGCGTTACTAGCCATATGGCTATTGTACTAGCCATAGCTTTATGTTAGCCAATATAACTATGTATATTAATATTAATTAATATTATGTATATATATGCACCTAAGTTAGTATTGTTTTCGATAAGTACTACTAACAGTGTGACCGACCACGGCTATCTCGAGTGCTAGCCGATTGGAGAGATTACGTTTAGTCACGTTCGCGATCTAAGACGTGATATCTAAGTAATGATAGCGTCACAGATGACGTCAAACCTTTTGATCTTCATGAATATGCATGGAATTTCATATTCACTATAAGCTCCCTATATCTCGCACATATAATATGTAATTCATTTAAAACGTCAGCTTCTAAGTCACATGGGTCATATTTTGATAAAATGTTTCTATATTCGTATATAGTTAGATATTTAGAAGTAACTGGCGGGTTACTTTTGGTACAAACATATTACATATAAGTAACAAAATATGTACAAAATTCAATTAGTATCACTAAGTTCGCTTAAACTAGCTTTTACCGAGTCTATATTGTTTTTTACGTTGTGCTTCAAAAGTACCTATATAATTATTTTATAATTAATAAAGCTTACGCAATGAAAACTATAATTGGCTTTGAGCTTAAGCTATCTATTATCCGCAGTATATTAATTTCGCCGTCAATTTTGAAAGCTATTTCATTTTCATGCGGTACAAAACCAAATCAATAATAATAATTGAATTAACCGTAAAAAGTATGCTCTCTATGCCTTGTTACACTATATCCTAGTCTATAGATAGGTCGATTTCATTTTTATATTCATTCCATCGCTACTTTTGAAGTGAAACTTCTTTAGAATAGTTGTTATTTGAAACTCGATGAAACGGAAATGCGGCACTAAAAAATGCAAACACGAGTCAAAATATTTAAAAGATAGACTTTGTTAAAAAAATATTTAATTAAACACTTTTTACAATTTATATCTTAAGTCTATCTATTACTAGAAACTGGGGTGATGTGAACACTGTTGCTCGCCAACTCGCGGTTTATATACTGCTCCTGCGGGGGGTCGCGACGGGATGCTCCACACGTCGATGTTTTGGAATGTGCTAAATGTCCATAAAAATAATGTTTCCTGATTATTCATTGTCTTTCAGCACTATCGGATTCTTGTAAGTCCATGGTGTGGTAACTGGAATGCGATCTAATTGCTTATTGTCTTTAATATACTTAAAGTTTATATTTTTATCAAGTTCTATATTCTGGGTGGCTTGACTGTCCCCCTCCAAATTCGAAGTCCATGGTTTAAAACAGACCTTGGATCGGAGAATTTTAATCAAGGTAATTATAATTATTATTAAAGTCAAGATACCAATCCAACTATATTGTATAATATTATGATTTCCTTCTTCAAAATTAAAATTCTCTATTTGCTTTAATTGCTTTAATTTAGAGTTAATATTTGAAGCATCATAATTTAATTCTATTTCAGTAAAAGTTTCAATTTTCTGAGTATCAATATTCGCAATAATTATTTTATCATTTGATTCCTTTGTTTGAAATATATTTAATCCAGATATTTTAAGTTCACAATTTTCACCATAAAGAATATTAGATTGCTTAGTCCACACCGTTTCCTCGTGCTTATTACATTTAATATAAACTTCCGTAGTTTTATTAAAATACATATAAATTGCTTTAGGAGAAATTTGGAGAATCTCTTGATTAGGACATTTAACATTTACTGTTTGAATTTTTATTACTTTCTTTCTTATATAAAATCTCTGTTTCACAAGAATCTATTTTAATTAGATTTCCTTTACAAATTAAATTATTTAATTCCATACAATCAAAAACTTCATACGTTTCTTCGTTATCAAACGCAAGAGTTACCTTTTGCATAATAGGATTGGAACAGGATGGGTAATTATGGATAATGGGTACAATTTTTCGACTCTTATAAATCTTACTCTTAACTAAAGGAATATTAATCATAAAATAAACAATTTCATTTATAATTTTACTCTTTACAGTTAACAAAGGCTCTAAATCATTTATATTATTAGAAATAAGTAAATCTTTTGGGATATTATTTAAAGTTTCTAATAGTAAATGCGATTGTAATATACTATAATGATACATACTGTGTTCTGCAAAAGTAATCGCAGTTGTTAATCTTTCAGCTATATCTTGCAAAGTTTGAGCTTGTAACAATAAAGAGATCGCAACCTTTTGCTGCGCCTTATTATTTAATACATTATTTAATTGATTATTTATTTGTATCTGAATATTTGTAATATTTAAAATTTGTTTATTATCTTCTTCTAAAGAACTATCAGTAACAGAAATCTGTTTATTATAAGCTATTCTTAAAGTCTCTAAATTGTTTTGAATATTAATTAAATCATTATCATCTAAATTTCCAGTAATTAATTTAATAATTGAACCTAATCCATTAATTAATCCACGTTTAGTACGAATATTTGATTGAATATTTAAATGTTTACATATTTCTTTAACATGATCTAAAATAATATTAATTCTTTGATAAATATACTTAACATCTTCTACATTAGATTTACTTAATGCAAAATTAGCAGAATATTGCAAACTATCTAAATTATATTTAATAGGTTTTATATCTAATTCATGTATAATAGTCCATCCTCCTTCTATTATCCGGGTAGGACTTAATTCAATTATAATTACATTTTCATCAGGTTCTAACTGTCTGAACTGGTATCCGAAGATACAGAGTGCTCTGAAACAACAAGTTCCTCTATGTGATATGTTTTACCATTACTTAATTTATACTTGTTATGAGGTTCAACACTAACTATTTTATATGGACCTAAAAATCTACTTTTTGTTTTATGACGTTCCGCCATACTATTTTTTAAGATACGCGGTGTCACCTATTTTAAATAATTTCGGGGCCCTAATATTTTTATTAATTCGTTCATTTCTTTGCTCCTTCTGTTGTTTAAGTATATTATGTATATTTTTATTTAGTTCTTTTACAAAATCGCGTTGCTGTGCCGTATACTGCTGAATTACAACTCTTAAATTATCAAAGCTACGCAGCTTAGGTTTTCTACCGAAATGCACTTCAAATGGAGTTAAATTTATAGAACTATGTGTAGTATTATTATATGAATGAGTAATAAAATATATTTTTTGAGTTTTATCTAATTCCGACTCTCTTTGTAAACGATATAATTCTTGTAACGTATTATGAAGTCTTTCTACATTTGCATTAGATTTATGATGTTGTGGGGAAGTAGTATGATCCTTTATATTATAAGTTTTAAATAATTCTTTAATAATCTCGCTACAAAACGATTGTTCACCATCATGAATAATTTTATTAGGTGCTCCTATAAATGCAAATATTTCGGATAAAGTATCATAAACTTTAGTTTTTTCTGTGGGTTTTACAATAGCATATTTAGAAAATTTATCAATAATTGTTAAGTACCATTGTCGTTCTAAAGACATAAAATCAATGTGCCATACATCCATAGGTTCATAAGGGGTTTCCGTTTCAAAAAATAAAGTTTTATAAGGGTGTCTATTATATTTTTCCTTTTTACATATTTCGCAATTTGTAATATATTTTTTAATTAATTTTCTCATATTTTCAAAATAATATTTATCGCGAAGCTGTTTATATACACTTTCTACACCAGCGTGCCTATTTTCTAATAAATGATACTCTTTAATTAAATTTAATTGTTCTTCTTTATCATCTATTTCCACTAAATTTTTTCGTATATCTAATTGGCTTAAACTTACTGTGATCGAAATACTTTCTATAAACTTCCGAAACTTTATAATATAATTCATCATTAGGGATAATAAATGCGTATTTCTTTTTACTTAAATATTCTAACATAAATTCTTTAATTATTTCTTCTTCATTATCAGGTGGAATATAAAAATAATACATACCCTTTTTATGTTGCGCGTCCTTATAAGGTGCAACTTCGAACACTACACGTCTTAACCTTTTAGGTGGATAAGTATTACTAATAGGAATACCTTCATCGCTGTCTTGTTGACATGAATGCACTGTATTTAACGATTCATTGTTTTCGGGGGAAGAATGCGCTATACCACTACCGTATTGCGTTGAATTGTTATCACTATGTGGGGTACTATCAAGTGACATTTGTTCACCACATTGTGCTTGTAATGACTCTACACTAGTATGATGCAATTTTATTCTACTTAATGCATCTGCTACATAATTTTCTTTACCTTTTACATGTTCAATAGTATAATCATAATCTTGTAATTTTAATTTCCAACGTGTTAATCGCTGATTCGGTTCCTTTAATTTAGATAACCATATTAATGCTTTATGATCAGTTCTTAAAATAAACTTTCTTCCATATATATAGGGTCTAAACTGAGTTACAGCCCATAAAATACCTAATAATTCTTTTTCAGTAGTATTATATTTTTGTTCACAACTACTTAATGTCCTAGATGCATACGCTATAGGATGATTATCCTGGCTTAAAATCGCGCCTAATGCTATATCAGAAGCATCGGTTGTAATAACGAACGTTTTATTAAAATCTGGAAATGCTAAGATCGGTGCGTTAGTTAATAAGTGTTTACATGTCTCAAACGCCTCTATATACTTTTTATTCGTTATATCTATAGTCGCATTTTTCTTAGTAGCTTCAGTTAATGGCTTTATAATTTTACTTAAATTAGGAATAAATTTTCTATAATAACCTATTAATCCTAAAAAACCTCTTATTTCCTTTAATGTTTTCGGAATAGGAAATCTTTGTATAGCTTCTACTTTATTTTGGTTTGGTTTTAAACCATCTTTATTTAAAACGTGCCCTAGAAACTCTATTTCTTCGGACATAAAAATACATTTATTTTTATTTAACTTTAAATTCGCTTTTCTAAGTGCTTCGAAAACTTGTTGTAACTTATTAATATGATCTTGTTTAAATTTTGAATATATTATTATATCATCTAAATATACTAAGCATATATTTCGAGAAATCTCTGTTTTTAAAACGTTATTCATCATACGTTGAAATGTTGCGGGTGCGTTCTTTAAACCAAATGGCATTCTAAGAAATTCATAATGACCGTTAGGGGTACTAAATGCCGTTTTTTTCTATCGAATCTCTATCCATTAATATTTGATGATATCCCGATGTTAAATCAAGAGTACTAAAATAATTATTACCTTGTAATTTAGAAAATAATTCCTCTATATTTGGTAAAGGAAATTTATCCGACTTAGTTTTTTTCATTTAATCGCCTATAATCTATAACCATACGCCATTTCTTTATTCCTGACTGATCTAATTTTTTTGGAACAATATGCACAGGGGATGACCATGGGGATTCTGAGGGTTGAATAATATTTTCATTTAATAATTTATTTATTTGTTTATCTACTTCTTCCTGTTGTATTTGGGGTAACCTAAATGGTCTTTGATAAATAGGTTCTTCGCTTACTAAATTAATCCTATGTTTTATACTTGTAGTTGCACTATTAGTAACGTCTTCGGTAAATAAATCTTTATAAGTTTCACAAAGATCTTTAATATTTAAAGAATCCTCGTCGGTCATATGATATATTAAAATTTCCTTTTGGGGTAAGATTAATTTTCTTTCTTTTAAATCGATTTTCGCGTCAATTTGTTCGACCATGTCCGTTCCCATTAAAATATCATATTTATTACTAAAATTAAATATATAAAATTTCATTGAACTATCACCTTCACCGAAATATTTATTCCAATAAGGTGTTTGTATTAAACCTACATGCCTAGTAATACCATGAGAGGTTCTAACCGTAAAATGTTCCGGTTTATAATAATCTAAGAAATATTTAGAAGCTCTAATAGTTATAAAAGATCTTTGACTACCAGTGTCAATTAATATTTTTAAATATGGTTCATCTATCTCAAAATAAGGCAAATAAGATTTAACATAATTAAATTCTATGTCTCTTTGTTTTGATCCGAACGCTCGTGAAAATTCGGCTCAATATTTTTTGAATTGTTATTTTCAAAATAACTATCATGACAATATTGATTATATTCATGGGGATAATTAATAAAGTTTTCATTTTCGTGATGAAAAACTTCTTCCGCAACCATTCCCTTTCCTAAATTAATTTGGCCTTCCCTTACATTAGGGGCGGTTCTCATCGAAACATCATTTGAATTGTGTTTATTTATCGTAGGCTTCGATTGATTTTGTTTAAAAAAGGGATGTGGTGACTTATTAAAAACATTATTATTATAATTAGGGTGCCACGATTGCTTATTATAACTAAAATTAGGCCTCGTTTGGAATCTTTGATTAAAAGAGCGTTGTGTTGTGGGATAAGTGTGTTTATTTTGCGGATTAAAGGTATTTTGAGGATGAAAAGTATTTTGAGGATTAAAATTATTTTGAGGATATAATTGTTTATTATATTGAGGATAAGAATTTATTACACGCGGAGGTGGTAATAAATTTGAAAATTTCTGTTTAATATTATCAAATCTACCTTCGGCCTCTAATTGTAATATTTTAGTTGCTGTTTCGTTAAAATTACAATTTGAAACATAAATTTGATCGTGATAAGGTAAACTATTCCTTAAAGTATTCTGCGCGGTATTTATATAAGGTTCCATAACTTCTTCAACTAACATTTTATCAGAATATTTGTCTAACAATTTACTCTTAATAAAAAAATAATTTCTGTTTTAATTCGAAAATTAAATCCTTATAAGTAGTTTTCTTTTTAACATTTGCTAACTCTATTAATAATGTATTAAATTCCCTATTATCGCCACATTCTTTTTTTAAAACCGTTTCTATATTAAACCATTGAAAATCATGATCAACCATACTAATTGTAATTGCCGCTTTACCTTCTAATTTACTTAATAACAACATAACATTTTGAGGAGTTTCTCCTCCCGCAATAGACAACCATTGTTTTGCACAATTAATATAATTATATAACGTAAATGCATCACCGTTGTATGACGGGACGAAACTAATTAGAGTTTTTGGGTCCATGATTTTATTAAAAGTCTGTGCTATGGAGACTTGTTGCAAATTAGGGACTCTACTATCGTTGGATAGGCTTCCTATCGAACTATTACTACCCTCGATACTAGGAGGAGGGTGATTCACATCACCCAATAACTTAGATTTAAATACAAATTTCGGGGGTTTGAGGTAGAAAGGAATTTTGAAGGATTTATGCAAAAAGGTACTCACATAAATTGCAGAGAGATTACCGCCTTCAGCATGTCCTTCTCCTTATTTTCAGGTCCTCTCCCGTTTGTTTTTATTTGACGTATTTATATAGTGGGTCACTAGCTGAAGTCTTGAGAGACTGCGCGTAACTTGGCCGGAACGGTTACTCAACTTTGAGTTTTATCGCGACGGAATAACGGCGAGTTCTGCGTGCTAGGCCCCTTAGTTGGGCGCCAGTCAAAATATTTAAAAGATAGACTTTGTTAAAAAAATATTTAATTAAACACTTTTTACAATTTATATCTTAAGTCTATCTATTACTAGAAACTGGGGTGATGTGAACACTGTTGCTCGCCAACTCGCGGTTTATATACTGCTCCTGCGGGGGGTCGCGACGGGATGCTCCACACGTCGATGTTTTGGAATGTGCTAAATGTCCATAAAAATAATGTTTCCTGATTATTCATTGTCTTTCAGCACTATCGGATTCTTGTAAGTCCATGGTGTGGTAACTGGAATGCGATCTAATTGCTTATTGTCTTTAATATACTTAAAGTTTATATTTTTATCAAGTTCTATATTCTGGGTGGCTTGACTCACGTAAATATATAGGATTAAGCCGGCGAGAGAATGAAATAGAATACATCGCCATGTTGCCGTGGTAACCGTTGTTATTACCTGACAAATATTAATAGAAAAATATATTCTTTCCGTATATGTTTTCTATAAATATATGATTGTTATATGCCCTATTTAATTATATATTTGTTTTAATTTAATTTCGATATTTCCCAAAGAAGTTTTACTTCAACCCCGCCTAAAGGTTACACGCACCTTTATTTTTTTAATAGTAATTCGTTCACTTAAATGTTTTTAACAACACTTTAATTCTAAATTAATCAACAGATGCCGCCTAAAATCAAATGGATGAAATAAGACAGTTTTCCATAAACGAAACCGCGGGCATACGCTAGTTATACAGTGAGCTTTGCACCTTGAATAGTCATGTGGTTAGATGTGTATTCAGTCTCTAAATAGTTCCATATACATGAACTGTTACTCTAACGACTCGCACACTCTGTAATTTCTATGATTGCCTACGAAATACATCTGTGTTTCAGAATAGCCAACAGGCTACCTACAAACCTATTGACTGATTTAGAGAAATAAATGCAGTTCTAAACCATTAAACATTATCTATTGGGTTGTACTGCGAGTACTGTACTGTAGTTGCTTCATGTTAAATATAAAATATATTTACAAAAACATACTAACTTTTTTTAATGTTGAGAAATTTATGTGTGAAATGCATTTACATACCACCTGCATGCATTTGCATACAGATAGTTATGTGGGACACACCGACAAAAACATCTAACAATTTAATCAAACTAATCTCCAACAGAACTCACTCAACCACGATCTCCTGACGGCTTCATGTCCCAACGGTCTACTCTGCAATCAGAGAAGTACCAAGAGCAACCCGCATGGCATACCATCCCCCAAAGTGGGCCACCTCCTAGTGTTTTTCTTGGGTTCACGTCTGGCTGGATTGCTGGGCGCTAATGAGCCCCCCCACCACGACAAGCTGAACGCACAATAGGGGGGAGGAAGTGGGAGGGTGATATTTAACTAACTAACCTAACCGATATATTCAGTAAAGTTTTACTTAGTATTTGTACTAATTATATATTTGTTGATTCTTCGACAAAATATGTATACTCTTTTATTCTGTTAGTTGAATACACCTTGTTGGAAATACCGCAATACTTTACGAGCTTAGAATAATTTACACTGTGTCGTTTGTTTCGTAAGATAAATTAAAGAAGAGGCATTACAGTGAGATAATACAATCTCATTACTTCTAACTGCTTACAAAGAGAACAGTTGCCATTTCGGAATATTTAATTGCTTCATTAAATTATTATTACTTTAATATCAAAATACCAGCTTTGATCCGTTTTTTCCATTCGTAATTTGCACTTCAAGTTCTTTCAAAAAGTGTTTTATTAAGTATCAAGAATTAATAACATTACTTCCAAATTCCAATATATTATCTTCTTCTATCTATACAATATACATATAATAAAATTCTAACAAAGTCGAATCGGTTTATTCAATATTTTTTGGAATATCTTATTGAAATAGTCATTATTATCGATACAGAGGCCGAATCTATAGTTTTTAGATTTTTTGTCTGTCTGTCAGTTTGTCTGGGAAGGGATCACGAGAAAACCACTGGACAGATTTTGATGAATTGTTATCCGGGTAATAGTTATCCGAGTCAACGTATTGTATAATTTTAACTGCAGGAAAATATCTCATCTCTGAGAAATCTATACTAAGCGTTAAAATGTAACTTGGGACGAACCTGAGCGGATCGAGGGTGAGTCGCTAGTCTGTACAATCTATATAAAATATGTGAGTATGTATGAATGTTTGCTACTCTTTCACGCCAATACGGCTGAACGGATCTGGATGAAATTTGGCACAGCGATAGATTATAGTCTGGAATAATATTATATAGACTACTTTTTATTCCGGAACAATATATGGTTGCCGAGGGATAGGTTTGTTTTTGTTTTTCTAGAGGCGAACCCGAGCGAAGCGAGGGTGAGCCACTAGTGTGTAAATACAATTTATATCCCA